AATTACCCGCCTGGCACTTAGTGAAGGGGTTTTATTCCCTCCCTAACTTCAGGGGAAAATCTCTACCTGGGGAAACAACCTTTCTCAGAGAGGTGACCTTGGTTAAAACACATAGTGCCAAGAAGGTGAGCAAATATATTAAGAACAGTATGCCATATATGCCAGGTCCCTTGAAACAGCAAGGATGGACCGGCTCCCAGCACAGGGGCATACTCTACCAAGGAGACAGAACTAAACCTCACATCACCCTTCTTGGCTGGTTAGTCAATGACGGATAAGATTCCTCAGGGAGGAGTGACCTAAGACAGGCACAGTCACAGGGGGCCTCAGGGGAGAACTTGGGGGCCAACAGAGGTGGGGCAGAGATCCTCACCCCCCCCCCAACTATACAGGGGCTTGAACACTCACCCCTTCTGAGGGAGGTCTCCTGCCCCCATGGCTGCTTCTCGATTCCCATGCCCAGCCCAGGTAGGGAGCCAGATAACAGAGAGAGAGTTATCCCAACCGAGATCAATACCCAGAGAACGGAGACTTCGCTAACAGCAGCTACCCTATATCTAAATCCAGCTTAACACCAGGAATGCTCAGGGCCTTCTCAAGGATACAAAATAATCCTTTCCATTAATATTTACAGTATAAACTAAGATTGCTATTAAAGTATTAAATTTGACAGTAAAATAATAGTCAAGTTTTCAGATTAATTAAAACTAGCTCAAGAAGTATTAACCAAAATTTTCATTTCATGGATAAATTGCTTAACATACAATAAACCTAAAGCAGTCATATTTTTATGCAAAAAATTAAAATTAAAAGTTATCTAGACTACATTATAAAATTTCCAAAAACCTCCTAATATTAAAAAACAAAAAAGGGGGAATAGTGGAATAATAACCTGTTAAGTAAATGCCTTAATTGCTTTAACATTTTTACTTGAAAATTCATGTTTTCATTTATAATGCTAATAGCAAGACACCCATGAAAAACATACGTGGTGTCAAAATAAGCCAAAGGAAAATCACTTGGACAAAAATTAAAGGAATCCCAAGTATAAATTACAGATATGATTCCTTTATTAACCTTTGGTCACGAATACGTTTGTATATTTTCAGAAAACAACTCCAAGACCATATGGATTCCTACAACAGAAGAGAATTATCATGACTGCTCCAGCCACAGAACAGCAGTGGCCCCGTGAGACAACAAGAAGAGAAGCAGTCCAGAAATAAAGATGGTGAAAACGCCTTATCATGCTAGCAGTCAGCAGCTGTGCGTCGCTGCAGGTTGCCCAGGACCAAACCAGAGAGGGTCAAACCTACATTGCCACCATTTGTCCACCATCCAGAACTGAAATATTACTGCTGACATGTACACATAAGAAACTGTCAGACACTGAAACATGAACTTCTCCTAAAAAACAAAGAAGGGGGATCTGTTGGGGGCCAGATGTAAGTTGGCAAGGTCCTTGCACCTGAAGGGGCCAGCAAGGCTGGGATCCTTACCCACACAGTTTTCCCAGACTTGTTTGGATGGCAATTATCAGTAGAATGAGAGCAACCTTTGTAGAATAAGAACAGCCTTTCATAGCTTACCAAGAAGTCTGTAACTATTTACTGAGATATGCTGTACTGAGAACTTGTCCTTCTGCTATGTCTCTCTCTTAGAGATAAAGAGGAACAAAGAATACATTCCTCTTGACAGACCTCCTATTCAGTGTGTTATGTGTAAATAGGATTGTGTGGCTAAAAAAGTTGCTTCAGTTCCTCGAGAACTGGAGTCCTCTCGATCCTGCTTTCCTGTCTTTCTTTCTTTTCTCAATTCCCACCTCCCTGCCTCAGCCCGGCTCAAACTTGTCAGGCTGGCCCTGACAGGACTGGTATAAAAAATAAAATAAAAAGGGAAGAAGGAACACAGGCACAAAAAGTAAAAATGGTTACAAACAAGTACCTATCAATAATAACCTTGAACATAAATGGACTGAATGCTCCAATCAAAAGGCATAAGGTAGCTAAATGGATACAAAAACATGACCTAACTATATGCTCTATACAGGAGACCCACTTCAGGACAAAAGACACACAAAAGAACTTAAGTGCACAGGATGAGGGTGAAGGGTTGGGGAAAAAAATTGCAAAGCAAATGAAAAGAAAAAAAAAGCTGACAAGAAGATATAACCCTGGTAAACATATATGCACCCAATGCAGGAGCACCCAAATTTATTAAAAAACTCCTGGGAGATATCAAAGGAGAGATCGACAACAATACAATCATAGTGGGGGACTTTAATACACCACTGACAGCACTGGATAAGTCCTATAGACAAACAATCAGCAAAGATACAGCAATTCTAAATGACTCACTTGATCAGATGGACTTAATAGACATCTTCAGAACGCTTCACCCCAAAGCCAGGGAATATACGTTCTTCTCAAGTGCACATGGGACATTTTCAAAGATAGACCACATACTGGGTCACAAGAAAAGTCTTTCCAAATTCAAGAAGATTAAAATCATATCAAGCATCTTCTCAAATCACAGTGGTATAATATTAGAAATAAACTACCCCCAAAAAATACCCAATTAATATTAGAAATACAGCAACAGGAAAAGCCCAGAGTGAGCAGAAGGGAGGACATAATAAAGATCAGAGCTAAAATAAATGACATAGAGACCAAAACAAACAAACAAAAAAAACAATACAAAAGATCAATGAAACCTAGAGCTGGTTCTTTGAA